CTAGACTGTAGGATTTGTTGCATTCACTTACTATTAAGCAAAGGAATTCAACATGGCATGAAAACTATGATGTACGTACCAGCAACTGTCGTTGTCGCATTAGTTGGCCTGATATTTTTCGTTGTTGTAGTGTCTTCATAGTCTGGTTCCTTTTGTATATCCTATAAAGTCGAAAGCACTTAATCCGAATCCAGAAATGAGACAAAAAAAGGTTTTACATTAAGGCTTTTGAAAATGTTATGATAAAGACATGTTACAAAAATCATATAACACCACAAAAATTAACGGGAAACCTAATAATGATTAGGAACTATAGTCACATCTTTTTTCAAATTTGGCAAAAATAATAAGTTGTGATTATAAACAGGAGGAAAGAAGAATGGCGAAACCGTTCAGTGCAACAGACAAAAATATTTTGTAATGTGACGTCGTGGTTTTTTAAGCGGAATAGACTGAATATCAAATTGGTTATTTTCAACCCAATGGCACGTACACCATTAATGCCGTCTGTCGTGTAAGAAGTTCACTATGGATACTATAGCCCGCGGTATCGCTGGCAATCTTTCCTCGGTTTGATGTACTCACATGTCTTTTGAAAAATGCGTTCATTTCTATGTTTTAAAAAATCGCCATAAGCCCTCGCGACACAGGAAAGCGCAGCCCATTTTTGAGCCGATCTGCTAATTCTAGATTAACTTGAGGAGATTTAGAGCGTAGATAGTTGAAAACTTCTTTGATATTTCTCTCAAGAGATATGAAGTAGTGATAAAAGTGAGAATAAGAAGATAGAAATGAAATAGGTATGGCGAGAAAGTTAGAAGTTGTTTTTTTTTTAACTCAGGCTATAACAGCCAAATTGTTGACAACAAATCTTACCGTTTTTTCAGAGCCTTCCTCCTCTTCACTTTCCCGCATTGAATCTGGTTCGGAGCCAGGGACAAAGCCGACATTGACGGGCAGATTGATATTGTGAGGGCGATCGCGGTCGATAAGAGTGCGATTGATCAAGAATTCTTCGCGCTCGTTTCCTGGAGCGGAACTAGTGGTTTTATTGACAGAGGAAGAGTCTGCAATAAGGTAGGTAACAAAAGATTTAATGGAGAAGGAATATCTGAAGGATTTATACCGAGTGGTCGGGAAGAAGAAAAATGGTCTAAAGAATCGGCTGGGTTGCTCGTTGTGGGACGCTCCATATCTCGACCGGACGTAACAAAGGCAGGCTCAGTACTGCTCTTTTCATCAGCATTTGCCTCCAACTTAGGCACTATACCGCCCTCTATTGCTGCTTCTCCACTGCCTTCCTCCGTTGTCTCCTCGATCTTTTCTGTTGTTGAATGTCGTTCTTCACTAGCTGGTGTTGCAGTTGTTGAAGGAGCAGAAGACGTGTTCGCACCAGCTTCTGTGTTAAGAGATGAAGACGAAGATGAGGTCTCAGGAGACAGACTAACAACAACTGCTGATGGAATCACCGTGTTTTCCTCAGGTTGCGCCGTTAACGATGATTCCGTAGTCTTACCTTCATCGATGTTTGCTTCCACCTTAGGCAACTTGTTGACTTCGCTTGGTTCTTCTCCAC